TACCAGAGGCCTATAAAGCAGAAGGGGTCAGGGAGGGTCCTCACGATCTGGGTGACCTTGATGGGGGAGGGGAAATACGGCTCTGCAGATACACTCATCAGAATGCACACCCTTTCCCAACACCCTCAGCTTCTGGGTGAGCCAGCCTCCTCCACAGAAGCTAGTCTTTGTTAACAGTGTTGTCATGGCAACTGCATCCAGGGAGAACTCTCTCTTTAAGGTAGAGTCTAGGGTGATACTTGGAGAAACTGAAGTGTTGGTGACAAGCAGGGCAGTGGCCCCCTGGTTCTGTCCACACTAATCCTTCCAGGACAGGCCTTCTCCACACCCTCTATCTGTCCCAGAGTTTTAAGGCTATTCCGCTCTCCTCTCCTTGAAGGTAGACAGCAACATGCCTCAGACCTCTGTACACAATGTTCTGAGACACAGCTCTTCACCTCTTCCCCACTATGCCCAGCAAGCAGCTCAGAAAATTCAATCCACGTCTCATCAGAATGGCCAGTGTCCTGGAGATGGGAGTCCAAAAGGACTGAGGTAGACTGAGCTCTAGGGGATCACTGACAAGACACTCAGGGACACTCATTGTAGAGGCCTTGGGCACCTGTACATCATGTCTATTCAGGAAGACTCACCCCAAAAACATGCTAAGGGCCAAGAGGAGACCTAGCAGAGGCCATGTCTGTGGGAAAGGGTATCACAGGAAGGGAGTCACTGAAATTGTTCAGGCTGGAGAACAGAGGGTTCAGTAAATGGAAGGAGGTCCATGAGAGACCTGGGCTGGGGTAGGCCAGGCCGGATGTTACCTCAATGCAAGAAGGGTCTGCAGCTGGCTGCTCAGATGATAATGTTGAGGTGCGTGAGGCTCGGGGACAGGATGGCAGTGGATAGTACACTTGTGATCACCCAGGAGAAGCCAACAATCATGACATCCATGCTAAAAGAGCCCTAGGTTCTGGGGCTGACAGGAGTTGGGGGTCAGCTCAGCATGAAGAATGGAAGTTGTAGTTCCAGGAAGGGCCTGGATCCTGAAAGATAGAAAGTGTGCTGAGTGTGCTGAGGCAGGAGGTACAGCTATGGAGAGGCCTACAGAGGTCAGAGGAAAAGGTGGACCAAGAGTCAGGCAGCCAGACTGGATCCAGAGCATCTGGAAGCAGGTACAGTGAAGTCCATAGCCTCTACAATGGGGCTCCCTGCTGGAAGGGGTACGGACCAGATGGGAGTGGGCTGGGAGTGAGTGGGAAGTGAGAATGCGGAGTAAGCAAGCCGAGAACACATCTTTAAGTCAGCCTGCATGGGAATGAGGGTGGGCAGGAGCTGGGGAACATGAGATGAGAGGAGCCCTGTGCGAATCCCCTCACCTCTGAGGACCATCACTTGTCAACCCGGGAACTGAAAGCACCTTGTGTTTCCAATGCTGTGCCCTGGAGCTGGGCAGAGCTCCCACCACTGTGAGAGAGAGAGAGAGAGAGAGAGAGAGAGAGAGAGAGAGAGAGAGAGAGAGAGAGAGAGTCCGGCCTCAGGCTATTCTACCTAGAGTCAGTGGGAATCCCAGAGGCCCAATTTCAGGGCTCCCTTCCAGGAGTCAGCTAGTACTCTGCTTCCTGAATTCACAGAGAATCCACAGCCAGCTCAAGAGAGCCAGACAGGTTTCCGAGGCTCAGTCAGCCAGCCTGGACAGCACTGGCCAAAGCCTAGCCCCAAGCCAGAGTGGTCCTCAAGTGAGGAGGATGGCTACACATGAAGTACCTTATTTCACATCCCAGCACCGAGCAGGGATTCCCTGAGGGAGTTCTGTGTCAATTAAAGGATGAGGGAGAGGCTCCTCAGGGCAGGGTCACAGGAAGGGTAATCTGCTCCGTGACATGCTCCATGACACCCGTTTGACTGAAGGTGTTTATTCAGAGATACTCGTGGTCGGTCATCTGTGTCCCCCTGTGCAGCATCCCTCCTTCTCTTCCTTCGTCAGGGACAGTCATGGATAACATTTACACCCCAGCTCCCTCCCCTGACCGCTCTCACTGTATAGTGCCTATGGCAGCCACTTGCCAGCTCTCCTAGAACACAAGTCCCAGAGGCCCAAGCCCCTTCCCAGCTCTGAGCTGAACATCCTGGCCCTTTGGACTCTGCCTTCCATGTTCTAGTGACATCATGGCCCTGCTGATGCCAGCCGACTTTCCCAAATTATATCCTAGGATTAATGGAAACCTCCTGGTGATCCCAACCCAACAGCATTCTACCGATGAGCTCATACCAGCTCGCCCACTCTCAATTGGGCCAGGTCATCCCCTGTGTCTAACTTTTACACATATCAACAGCACCAATCTCTAGGCCCAGAAAGATGTGAGAAAGGCATAGGACCAAAAAGAGGGCCACATGTCTACCCCAGGCCCCCAAAAGTCCAGGGACCCTGCAAGTGGCCAGAGGTCACCAGAGTCCTTCCCCGACGGCCATCACCGCCACCCAGTACCCCCGCCTCCTCCCTTCCTCTGCACACCACTCTCTTGCTAAGTGCACACGCACAGGCAGGAGGGAGGTGGGCAACTGGAGCAAAGGAACCTGGGAGGCAGCCTGGAGTGGGCGGAAATCACACGAGGCAGATTCTGGAAGCACAGCCAGAGCAGACCATGGCTGGAGCAGATGGCCTCAGGAGGGAAAGCGGGGAAGGAGGGAGGGAGGAGTCCCATCAGAGAGCAGAAGGTAGGGACCTGGCAGAGAGTCCAGAGATGCCCTGACCAGGTCTCCCTCCCCAGCAGGGCCTCTCCTATGGCATAGGGCCACGCAGACATTGGCATCACAGTCCACTGAGGCCCTCCTGACCACAGTAAGGAGCTCAGTGCCCCCTGCCTTGGCAGGGCATCTTCTCTCGACCTATTTTGCAATGTGGTTTCTGTGAGACAACATTTTTAAGGTCAGAAATTTCACCAACCTAAGCCCCTTTGCTGTAGTTCTGCCAGTGAGGAGACAGACCATCCAGCCTATTCCAGCCCGCATTTGATTGCCTCTCCAGGACCCAGCAACCAGGCTAGCAACCTGCTCCTCACCTGTGTCCTGGGAGGAGGGACTTTACGCAGGTGCCACTTACCCCCTCCGCAAGGCCTGTGCACTGCCCAGCATTTCTCCCTTCTCTTTTCCCTCCCTCCCTCCCTCTCCTCCTCCCCTTCGGTCTGCAGTTGCTAAGTTACACCAAAACCCGCTCTGTTCTGTGTGAACGGTTCCATTGCCACAATTTGCCAGGTAAAAGGCAGCCATCCACCGGCAGCGGGAAGATGCATCTCAGAAAACAAACAAACTCCTGCATGGTTTTGGGGCTAGGCCACTGGCACCCCTGCCTGGAAACATCTGCTTGGGCTCCCAAACCCCAGGGGACATGTGCAAGAGAACGCAGCTTCCACACTTTATCATGGAGTCTGGTCACTCTCTTCTCAGAAGCAGAGCCTGTGGGCCCAGGAAAACACACACACACACACACACACACACACACACACACACACACACATACACACACTCAAGCTGACAACCACCCAAGAGGTTGCTGAGCCACTTATAATCCACAGCCCTAGAGGCAAAAAAGGAGAAGAGGTTGGAGAGGCAGAGAACCACTCTTCTGTCCCCAGACCACAAAGCTAAGAGTCCCTGATGCTCTCCCACTCTGGAGATCCTTCCTGGGCTGAGTACTGTGGTCCTAGAGTGCTGTCACTGAAGATAAACATGGAAATGCCCCCAGAAGTCATCAGACCCATGGTGTCACTCTGTTGAAACCATGTCTCAAAGGGGCCTGCAGCCTGCTCATGGCTCACAAGTCAAAATATACGGCCTCCCAATTCCTGCCAGGATATGATATGAGGTACTGCTCTGCTCTGGAGAACCTACAGCCTGGCAGAGCAGGTTCTGTGCCCACAGGGGCTGGGATGGACAAGAAGGAGTCAGGGGGAGGTGGGAGAGCCGGGGAAGATGAAGGCCCTGTAGGCCAACCTGACCCTGGGGCAGGAGGCCATCTGAGTCTCTCCCACAGTGGGATAAGACTAATAAAAGAGGGAAAGTGATCGAAAAGGGGGTTCACTGTCCCGAATAGGAAAAGAGGGAGCCCGGATGCCTCCAAGTCTCAGGCCCCATGCAGCTCCCCAAAGGCAGCCTCTTGTCAATATCCACTATCTGCATCTCTCAGAGATAGCTAGAGATGCAGAAAGCAGGGGCCCATCAACACAGTGCCTCCTCAATCAGCAGGCAGCAGGATGGACGGGCGGACAGACGGGGACACACACACACACACACACACACACACACACACACACACACACACACACACACACACACACACACACACACACACACACACACACACACACACACACACACGCTTATTCCGACTGGAACCAACCAGTTATACCTGTCGAAGTGCTCCCAAACGGTCCTTCAAATGACCCCGGCCCACGGGACAGAGGGATGCACCTCACCATGCCCCTGGTTCTCTACGCTCAAACGCAGTGTTTACGCCCCAATTCCTTGCCAAACAGCAAGTGCGTGAGATGCCACCCCGGACCCAGAATGCACAAGAGCAAATGGAAACTTCCAACTGCGCAGCCCGAGCTCCTCGGATCCCCGACCCCCTCCCCCACGCCAGGCCCTGGGCAGCGGACTTGCCAGTGGTGCCCACGGCTGCCACCCGGTGCGCTCCCTCCATGCTCGTCCCGGCCGCCCCGTGCGCGGCAGGTGCAGGAGGCACAGGGGTCCCGCCGTCCAGCCCGGGGCGGAGTTCCAGGAACTCCACGCGGGGCTTCACATCGCCCTACCCGGTGCCCGTCCCCGGACCCGCGCCCGCCCGCATTAACGACCCGAGGGGACGGCCCGCCGGAGGACCCGAGGGGCGCGCGGGGCTGCCGCTGCCTACCTCGGTCCGTGCCAGCGTCGCTCCCGCGCCGCCCTCGTGCCGCAGCCCGGCCCCGAGCAGCGCGCGGCCGGCGCCGGCGGCTCATGCTCGGCGCCCCGGCCCGCGGCTCCCGCCCACCCGCGGCCGCCCCCGCGCTGCGCCAGCTGCGGGCAGAGCAGCTCCCTCCGCAGCCGGCGCCCGGGAGCACGAGCGCGGGGAGCGGGCGGCGCGAGAGCGCGGGGAGCGAGCGGGAGGGCGCGGGGCGAGCAGCAGAGGGTGCGGGGCGAAGGTGCCGCGGGAGAGGGCGGGCCAGGCTCTCTCTGGAAATGGAGATGGCAGCCAGCAGCCCCAAAGATGATGTGGCTGCCTCATGAAAACCCATTTGGCGACTCTTAAGAGCTGCGAGGATGTTGATCAGCGGAACCTGACGGTGAACGTGCCTCCTTCACCCAGTCACCCTGCGGGGTTGGTAGGCTATGGGTTCCCTATGGGCAGATGCTGGGGAAGCGAAGTGAACCTGCATGATCTCAGAGCTGGCACGTACAGGTCAAGGCTCCAAAGTCACCTTGAGAGATTCTATGGCTCCCAATTTTTTCCAGAACCACTAGGAATATCCGAGTCCTCTGGCTTCCAGTGGGACCTTCTGTCTCTGAGAAGATAGCCCCAGGGTCCAGAATGACCAGGGCAGGCAGGCAGCCAGACTCAAACAAGTCCACCACAGCAAGGCCACAGGTGGCAGGTCTGTGCGGAAGATCTCCAGGGGCCCCTGGCACCTCTTGAAGAGACCGAAGACCTTTCTTACTCATTCAGTGAGTTTCTGGAACACCTACTATATGCTGGATGTCATCATTGCTCTGGGCACTGTGATGGTCCCTGCCTGGTTGGAGCTGGCATTGTCATAGCGAGTAAACAGAAAAGGAAGATGTCAGAAAAAGAGTTCAAGCGTTCAGCGGCTACCGATCCCTGGAGGATAGTACAGTAGGGCAAAGAGCTATGAAATGCGGTTGTAGCCGTTGAAGGGTTTATTTGGGGTGGTCCGGCGAATCTTTGATGAACGGGCATTTGAACAAAGACCTGTCGGAGCCAAGCCATGCTGGCTCTGAAGAGTGAGCATCTCAGGCCCGTGGAGGACCAAGTGCAAAGGTCCTGAGGTCCAGGACCCCTGGAAGGAGGCCAGAGTGGGTGGAGTGGAGAAGAGACCCCAGGATGTGCTGAGTGACAGAGCAACTGACCTGATCACCACTAACCTGTTCTTAACGCAGAGAAAGCCGAGGAGCTGCTGGAGGGTTTTACACGGTGATGTCATGACCTCACTTTTTCAACAGTACTTTATGGAAAATGTCAAACATTTACTGGAATGGAGATCGAGGCTGAACATACAGTTCAGTGGTAGAGTTTGCCTCATATGCTTAAGGCCCTGGGTTAGATGTCCACTGGTGGTGATGATGGTGATGATGATGATGATGATGAAGAGAGGTCAAAAAGTCAGCATAGCTTGCCACACGCCCACCTTCAATAAGGCTAATTTTAATTCATATCTCTCCCACCACTCCCTTTACTATTTGTTCATTTGATACGAACTTTAAAAGACATTCTGTAAGTATAACATATAAGCGAAAGTAAATGTGTGTTCAATAGACTCTAAAAGAATTCAATTCAGTGACTACGTTAATAGACATTTGCACCTGGATTTGCATTGTGAAAAGATTTTCTTTGGTTCTTTCCTCTCCGCCCCTCCCCCTGCCCCATCTTCAATGAATCTTCAGTTTGCTTTTGCTTTTTTTATTTAAATTTGTTCATACGATATATTTTTATCATGTTTTCCTCTCTCCCAACTCCTTCCAGATCCTCCCCCTCCCTACCCAACCAGCTTCATGTACACTCCTTTTCTCAAAAAAAAAAAAAAAAAAAAAAACTGAAATGAAAGCAAGCAAATAAAATAACAATACAACAAAAAAAATGTCAAAATGAAACAAAAATCACACACACACACACAAAAAATGGGATCCATTTTGTGTTGGCCAAGGGTGGGTGATATGATATTCCACTGGAGAAAACTGAGTTTCCTGTTCCTAACAGGTACCAATTGAAAACAGGATCTTGGGGAGGGATGGAGCTTTGCATCCACTTCCCCTTTTCAGTGCTGGGCTTGAACGGTGCTGGGCTTGCAGGTGCTATTGCAGTTTGTGAGTTCGTATTTGCCTCCATCTTGTTGTTCCTGGAAGGCCTTTTCCTTGGAGTTCACCACTTCCTGCTTTCCTTGGAGTCCACCACTTCCTGCTCTTACAATCTTTCTGCCTCCTCTTCCACATAGATTCCTGATCCTTGGCGGATGGGGCATAATAAAGACATCCCATTTAAGATAATAAAGACATCCCATTTAAGACCAAGTGCTCCAAAACCCCTTACTCTATGCACATTGTCTAGCTGTGGGTTTCTGTGTGAATTGTGGGAAGGTTTTAAATGACAGATTACCAGGGGTGTGTGTGTGTGTGTGTGTGTGTGTGTGTGTGTGTGTGTGTTGTAAACCCAGAGCACATGGCAAATGAACATTGTTTCACTGAGCTATGTCACCAGTCTGCCAAATTTTTTTCTGAGATGGGGGAATCTTACTATGCTGCCCTGGCTGGTCTAGAACTCCCAAACTCAAGTGAACCTCCACCTAATCCTCAGAGTATCTGGCCCCATAGGCACAGGCTCTGTGTAGCCCAGGATGATTGGGGACTTTAATCTCAAGTGCTGAGATGAACAGACATGCTCCACTGTGCCTGGCTCGTTCTTAATGTTATTTACAGCTTAGGATGTATTCTATTCTAGGAAATGCCCTGTATGCCCTTGCAAAGCATGACTAATCCATGCACATCAACTGGGTGGGGCTGGTAAAAGAAGTCCAAACCTTGTAAATTGTTACTGGATTGGATCTCATATTCTATCAGTTCCTGAAAAGGGCTTTCTTAAATTCTCTACTGTGGCCACAGACCAGAAACAACCCCCAAACTCTACAGAAGATGGATGGGTAAATAAATGCAGTACCTCAACAATAGAATACTTCTCCACAGTAAAGAGAAGAGCTAGTATTGAATACGACTTGACTGTTTCTTGGCTGCACTACACAAAAGACTCTTCTTACATGATGTCCTAGGAAAGAGAAAACCGCAGGGGTGGAAATGGATCTATGGTTTCCAGGATTGGTGGTAGGGAAAAGCTTAACGAGCATGGCAGAAACCTTTAGGGGTGACAAACTGCACCTGTCTCTTCATTGGTAGGGCTGATCACATGATCCCATACACCAAAAAGAGCACATTTTGCTGTGTGTGGAATTATTAAAAATTATTTTAATTATTATAAAATAAATTATTAAACTTTCCAATGTGGACCCCATGCCGTCTCTCTCTTCAGATACTGTCTGTAGGTTTTAAATACATTTTAAAGGTTTTTTTTTAACTTATTCTTCTCTTATACATTACATCCTGACCTGTTTCCCCTCCCTCCTCTCCTCCCAGTCTCTCCCCCACCTCAGATTCACTCCTCCTCTGTTTCCCTTCAGAAAAGGGCAGGTCTCCCAGATATAACAGCCAAACATGACATATCGAGTTGCAGTAAGACTGGACACCTCCCCTCATATTAAGGCTGGACGAGGCAACCCAGCAGGAGGAAAGGGGGTCCCAAGAGCAGGCAAAAGTCAGAGACACCCCTAAACCCACAGTTAGGAGCCCCACAAGAACACCAAGCTACACAACCATAACACATATGCAAAAGGCCTAGGTCAGTCCCATGCAGGCTCCTTGGTTGTCAGTTCAGTCTCTGTGAGCTCCTGCGAGCCGTGGTTAGTTGATTCTATGGGTTCTCTTGTGATGCCCTTGACCCCTCTGGCTCCTACAATCCTTCCTTCCCCTCTTCCACAGGATTCCCCAAGCTCTGGCTAATGTTTGGCTGTGCATCTCTGCATCTGCTCCTGTCAGTTGCTGGATGAAGCCTCTCTGATGACAATTGTGCTAGGTTCTGGTCTATGAGGATAGCAGAGTATCCTTAGGAGTCATTTCATTGACTGTTTTTTTTTTTTTGTTTTTTTTTTTGGTTTTTCGAGACAGGGTTTCTCTGTGTAGCTTTGCGCCTTTCCTAGAACTCACTTGGTAGCCCAGGGTGGCCTCGAACTCACAGAGATCTGCCTGGCTCTGCCTCCCGAGTGCTGGGATTAAAGGCGTGCGCCACCACCGCCCGGCTGTCATTGACTGTTTTTTATTTTTATTTATTTTCTGGTCCTATTTGGTTCTATCCTAGATCTCTGGGCTATCCTGCCTCTGGTCCCTGGCCCTCCAGGTAGTGTCAGGTATGGGCTTCCTCTGTGACAAGCTGGGCCAGTCATTAGTTGGCCACTCCCACAAGTTCTGCATCACCTTTACCCCATCACATCTTGCAGGCAGATACTGTCTGTCTGTAGGTTTTAAATACATTTTTAAAGGTTTACTTGTTTTTATTTTACATATATGAGTGTTTGCCTGCATGTATGTGAACCATGTGCATGCAGTGCCCAATGAGGCCAAAAGAGGGCATCAGATCCCCAGGAGCTGGAGTTACAGAACCTAGTAGATTAGATTATTTGGGGGCGCTTCTGTCAGAAGGGATGATGTATTCTCAGGGGACTCTGGTTAATTCTCAGGAGAGAGTTGCTATTAAATTACTGGACCTTCCCCAGTCTCTGACATCATGTCTTGCTATATGATTTCTCTTGCTCGCTGATGCCCTCTCCATGGTGAATGCTTTGCATAATCAAAAAGTAGCTTACTATAGGCCAGTAAGTCTAGTCTCCAAGTGTGGGCTAAATAGCCCTCTGCTCTACACACCTTACAGCTTCGATTATTTTGTAATGGCAATGATAAAACAAACAAACGAACAAAGACCTGTTCTTAGTCAGATTAAGGATGAAGTTAGCTTAGACCAGGGTAGCTATGATTGTAGAAGCAGGAAGTGTTTACAGCTGAGCTGTGCTGTAAACATAGCCACAACTATTTGAGTCACAGAAAAGGAGAACCCAAGGATGGATGTAGAGTGTCTATGTAACCTCATACCAAATGTAAATTGCATATTAATCTTTTTTTTCACACAGAGCATAAAAACCCAGATCCACGACAAAATTCTGACACTGAAGACCCTGGGCAGGGAGGTGTTTGGGGTGGTCAGGCACCTTCCCCAGCATCCTCCCTAGGCCTCCCTTGGTGGAACTGCCTGGTGACACTTTTCTGAAGGTGTGTCCCTTGTCCATGGCTGAGATCCAGGGCAAGAGACTGGGGAGTATTTCTGAGCTCCACCCACGTGAGCTAATTCAAGTGGGATAGTTTTGGAGTAGGTGAACAGTGTAGGCTGTGGGAATGAGAACTCATCTCTCGGGAGCCTCCTTGGCATAACTATAGCCATCTTGGTCATATCTGTCATTGTGGCAGGTGGCACGGCACACATCACAAACACTGTGAGACAAACTCCCTAAAGGGGTGGCCAAGCACAGCGAGCTTCTCACTGTTTCGCTGACAGCGGCAGCCAGCTGTTGAGAGAGCTGAGCGGACCCGGACACAGCCCACCTTTGTCCACACTACCCGCCCTTCCTACAGTCCTCCCAACCTGCGGGCTTCCTGTCTCACTTTGTGTGATGTGGGGCTCTCCTATTCTGCTGCCATCCTGTGTGTGAGTCACCCCTAAACTGCACTGTGGACTCCTGGGTCCACCTGCCGCCTCCTCCTTCCTCTACCCAGTGTTACAGCCACAGGCAGGTGCTGTCTTGTAGCAGCTGAGTTCCCTGATGGTCTCTAATGTAGACCTGCCACCATGACTTCACTTGGGCCAGCCTGGTGGCCCCACAGGCATCTGTGATTCTCAAGATCTCTGATCCCCTGCCCCGTGAGTCCCCCCACTTCCGTCTCAGCTCTCTCTCCTGACTTCCCTGCCTCCTGCTCAACTGTGTATCACAGTCTGGCCCAGCCCCTCACCCTGCATTTCATTCCTGCCTTTGCCTTCGGATCTGTCTCCTGGCAGTCTCCAGTGACAGATGACCCCGCCCGCTCCACCTTCTCCACGTGCCCCCACAGCTGTTACAGGATTGTTGAGGAAATCACACGGTTCTGTGGTCACACTGAACCCACGGGAAACTCACCAGCACCCCCCAGCTATCTTCCTGCACCCCCTTCTCTCCTGCTTTTACATTGTGAACTATGTCCTACATTCAGAAGAATGTGTGAAATGTCTGTTTATAGGCTGGAGAATAATCAAAATGAGAACGCCCACAAAAACCACCACTTGGGGGAAGAAGTAGGGCATGGCTGCTTCTGAGACGCCTCTTGGGTCCTTTGGCAATGATGTGTCCCTCCCCGAATCTCCTCCCTCAAGTGGCCCTCATCATGGCAACCACTCTCCTGTCACTGTATGAACCTTCCTTTCCAGGAGCTATGATGGTTTTTTAATATGTAAATAGGATCATACTCTGCATCACATTTCTGAACAGGTTGAATGTCCCCTAATCCAAAAATCTGACATGCAAAATACATCAAAATAGGGGTTTTTTTTTCAATATCACAAGTGGAAAATTCCACACCTACTTTCCTGGGATGGGTTGCAGTCAGTCAAAAGGCAGGCACTCTAAAATATGGTAGACATTTCAGGTTATATGTGCAAAATATATATGGAGCATAAGTGAGTTTTGTGTCTGAACTTGGGTCCCCTCCTCCTGGATATTTCAGTGTGTATACACAAATATTGCAGAATCTGAAAAGGTCGACAATTCAAAACACTTCTTGCCCCCAAGCATTTTGGATAAGGTCTACTCAATCTGTATTATCAAAATCAAATTTGAAAATAGCCATAGTTTATTCATGCTGGCTATTTTTGGTGCCCTGCTCTGTAAGTGTACCCTAATATGTCATCACAAATATCTCAGTTAGCACACTGCTTGCCTAGGGTTCATGAAGCCTTGGGTTTGATCCCCAGAACCACATGAACTGGGAATGGTGACACATACCTGTAATCTTACCACTTGGAAGCTGAAATCAAGGAACATCAGAAGTTCAAAATCATCTTCAGCCTGACTACATGAGACTCTGTCTCAAAAAGACCAAGACAACAATGAGAAATTATATGTGAGGTTTTTTAAAAAGGTGCTAATTTGCTCAATTTAGCCATTCCACAATATATATTTCAAAGCCACAATCTATCATAAATCATATAATTTTTATCAATTTTTAACATAGATACTTGTGCTGGTTGCTTTTTGTCAACTTGAGACAAACCTCATTTGAGAAAAGGCCTCCATCAGATCAGCCTGTAGGCAAGTCTGGAGGGCATTTTCTTGATTAGTGATTGATGTGGGAGGGCCAAGCTCACTGTGGGTGGTGCCACCCTTGGGCAGGTGGTCTCACATTGTCTAAGAAGTAGGCTGAGAAAGCCATGAGGAGCAAGCCAGTAAGCAGGGTCCCTCCATAGCTTCTGCTTCATTACCTACCTCCCAGTTCCTGCCTTGAGTTCCTGCCCTGACTTACTGTCGTGGATGGACCTTGACATGAGAGTTGTAAGATGTAAACCCTTTCCTCCCCAGGCTGCTTTTGGTCATGGTCCCTTAGCACAGTAACAGAAACCCTACTTATCACAATACTATAAATATACTTACTCAGTTTACCATTAGAAGGTACTTCAGGGGCTGTCATGGTTTTGCTGTTTTGAACAACGCTTTGTGAACATGCACATACTGAACTAGCATTCCCTGAACACCTGCTCTGTGCCAGGTAGTGGGACAGAGCAGTGGTCAAAACAGTTAAAAGTCCTTTCCCGCACAGGCACTGCAGAGGTGGATGGCTACACTACACCAAAGAAATCCACCACTTGTGTTATACATTAGAAGATGACAGGTGCTCCCTGGGAACAAAACTCACCAGAGAGAGGAAACATGACAGGGTGAGAAGATGCTGCGCTGCTGGGCTGACAGGCACACAGGGACTTGGGGGACGGAAGGATGGCAGCACCATGGCATTCCAGCAGAGGGAGAGCTGGGGTGGAGGACCCAAGGCAGGGGAGGGAGGCAGGCTATACTAAGTTGTGGTAGTTTGAATGTCATTGGCCCCCATAAGCTCATAGGGAGTGGCACTATTAGGAGGTGTGGCCTTTTTGGATTAAGTGTGGCCTTGGAGGAAGGAAGTGAGTCACTGTGGGGCTGGGCTTTAAGGTCTCCTATGCTCAAGCTACACCCTGTGGGGACACAGACTCCTTCTGCTGCCTGCAAATCAAGATGTAGAACTCTCAACTCCTTCTCCAGCACCATGTCTGCCTGCCTGCCACCTGCCGTGATGATAATGGGCTAAACCTCTGAAACTGTAAGCCAGCCCCAGTTAAATGGTTTTCAT